AACCACGAGCCAGTTGCCAAGCACCTGAATTTTGATCTTGTGACCACAGGGACGCTGCAACAGTTGTGTGAAAAATGGTCACTTTTTTTCAGTGTTGTTGTAACATTGGTCACTAAATGAATTGTTGGAAGTCCAGGATTATCTGTTCTTATGTTCCAATATACTGCAGGGGTCTTCAAACTTGACAGCTTTAAGACTTGTGGACTTCAACTCCCATAATTCCTGAGCTAACATGACTGGAAGAGGAATTCTGGGAGTTGAAGTCCTCAAGTCTTAAACTTGCCAAGTTTGAAGACCCTAAATCCTTCGGGGAAATTAGAAAAAAAACACCTTGTTCTATACATATACAGCTGGGATTTGTAAACCAGGATTGATGGTTTAGCTTTGCATAAATACTAACCATCAAGGCCAGCTAACCTAGTTATAAGCAGGTTGTTGATCATGGCTTTCCTAGCTGATGCTGCAGGAGAAACAGCTAATTTAGAAGAGACTAGTTCGTGACCCAACTTGGTGACATCATCAGTGCTAGAAGTGAGTGAGGATTGCTCTGTTTATATATACAAGTGACTTGCCCTGCCAGTGCAATTTACTGCACTCAAGAAACTACCAACTCAAACAAACAAGCCAGCAGTAAACAAACTCATGGAGGAACCGCCAAGAACACTCCCATCAATGCTTGACAAGGCTAAGCTACGATAAATAAACAGAGCAAAACCCTGTTCCCTTCTAGCACTGATGACATCACCTAGTTTGGTAATGAAATGTCTGCAAGTAAACAATCAAGCTCAGAGAGCTTCAAGGAGCCACAAAATGAGACAGTTAAGTGAGTTTTGCCCCCATTTTATGACCTTTTTTGCACCAGTTAAGCAAATTGCTGCAGTTGATAAGTCACACGGTTGTTAAATGAATCTGGCTTCCCCTGCTTGCCAGAGGGTCGCACAATCATATGACCCTGGGACACCACACCTGTCATAAATACAAGTCAGTGGCCAAGCATTCGAATTCTGATCCAGTGAGTGTCATGGGGATGTTGCAATGGTCAAAAGTGTGAAAAACCGTCCTGAGTCACTTTTTTTCAGTGCCCTTGTAACTTTGAACGGTCACTAAATGAACTGCTGGAAATCAAGGATTATCTTATACATTAAATAAAACCATATATGTTCCACAAATACGTTTTAAAAAATAAAACACACTAAGGAAAGGAGATTGGCTTGTGACCAGTCTCCAGCCTCTTTCTTGCCATGTTGCACGGCAGGGGGAAAAAAATGCAAAATAAATAAATAAATAAAGACTACAGATTGTCCTTGATTTCAAAATTTAGTGACTATTCAAAATTACAACGGCATTGGGAAAAGTGATGTATGAGCATTTTTCTCACTTACAATATGACCCTGAGGTCAGTTGCTTTGGCAATTGGGTTCATATTTATGATGGTCATAGTTTCCTGAGGTCCCCTTTTGCAATCTTCTAACAAGGAAAGTCAATGGGGCAAGCCAGGTTCACTTAAGAACCATATTACTAAGGGTACCTTAGTAATATGGTTAAGTGAACCTGGCTTGCCCCTTTACTTATCTGAGGTAAGATAAAATGGGACAAAAACTCATTTAACAAATTTTGGGTTCAAGTGGGGGGGTTGTAAGTCAAGAACAATTTGTATTCTATCTTAAGGCAACTGACTCACATTTATGACAGAATCAGGTGATCCTTTTTGCGACCTTCTGACCAGTAAAATCTATGGGAAGCCAGATCCACTTAACGGTGTGACAATGATTCACTTTCACCACTGTGGCCAGAAAAGGGTTAGAGTTAAAATTCACTTAACCAATGCCTCATTTAGCAACATAAATGTTGGTCTCGACTGCGGTCATAAGTTGAGGACTTCCTATACAGATTTTCTTTAAAGCTGCCTTTGGAAAAGGCAATTCCCCCCCCCCCCAAAAAAATTGTCCTAGATTTACAGATCATATAAAGAGAATGCTTGAAACAGAGTGATGGACCAATTGTGAGAAATCACTAAATTTGGTTTGCTGGGCTGGTCTAGTCAAAACACATCTTATAGATTAACAGAATTGGAAGGGACCTTGCAGGTCATCTAGTCCAACCCGCTCTCCCAAGCAGGAGACCCTATACCATTTCTGACAAATCTCTTCTTGAAAGCCTCCAGTGACGGAGCTCCCACAACTTCCGAAAGGTCTTCCATGGGTTGACTATTTCTCAGTCAGAAAATTTCTCCTTATTTCTAGGCTGAGTCTCTCCTTGGTTCAGTTTCCATCCATTATTCCTTGTCTGGCACTTTGGGTGCCTTAGAAAATTTGAGGTGCTCTGTGGCAGCCCCTCAAATATTGGAAGACCGCTATCCTGTCTCCCCTGGTCCTTCTCTTCCCTAGACTAGCCATGCCCAGTTCCTACAACCGTTCATCGTATGTTTTAGCCTCCAGTCCCCTTCATCACCCTGGTTGCTCTTCTCTGCACTTTAACATCCTTTCCAGTTTAAGGACGGCTGCCTATGCAGAACTGAAACTGCATTTTTTAAAAAAACCCAAAATAAATTAGAAAACTGTCCAATGGGCAGGCTTTCCACACATCCTCCTCCTCCTCTTCTCTGGTTCCCTTTGCAGCACCAGAAAACAAACCTAATCCACGAATAAAAGATCCTCACTCTCAGCGACCCCAACCAGCAGCGCTGACAAATAGAAACAGTCACATGCTTTGCTGAAGAGTGAGAAGAGGGGGGAGAGAGAAAAATAATTAGGAATTGATAAGCTTTTTCAGTGCCAGAGCTTCTGCAAGCCCTCAGCCAGCCAATCACAAGACACAAGAGGCAGGGCAGACTACAGAACCCCTGCTGCACAGCAGGTTGCAAACTTCAAGATTACTCAAATGCAAAAAACAGTATGGCTTAACCAAAAAAAAAAAAAAAGGGGGGACTTAACCCAGAGGAAAATTTTGTCCAAAGCTATATAATCTCATCCATATAAAACTCGTAAGCAAACTGGTAGAATTCTGGATGAATTCTTTTTTTTTTTTTAACTTGCTTGGATTGCAGCCTTGCAAAAAATAAAAAAGCTGTTTTAAACCGTAGCTCCAACATACAAGTGGCATGTTAAACATACGCAGGGCATCAACTGTAGAAAAAAAAACACATTCTCCCCCCCCTAATCTTGTCTGCTTTGGTTGATCACCTGATGATTTTTCACTTACAGATAAAATAGATTTTTTGGAGGGTGCACACTATTTTCAGGATTGTTTTCTCTAGCATCATTCAGGACTTTTAAAAGTTCAGGGGGGGGCTTCTCTGGAATATAAAGAAACAAGAGCCTCTGAGCATAGAAAGTGTTTTTCTACTTAGATTATAAGGGGCTGCTCTTTCCTGCACCCAGGATATTTTTTCCCCCAGAAACTACCATCAAATCTGTAGCATCTTTTCCCAAGAAACTGCATTTATTAGTTCTGGTTATTTACTTAGCCAGCTGCAGCTCCTGCTTAGAATTGGGTTGATCTAAAACATCTTTTCTAGTTAGCAAATGTTATTCGAATGTGTCAGCTGGAAAAGGTGTTTTAGATCAAGCCAATTCCTTTCCTGCAAACAACTCACACATGAACTGATTTAAGAGACAATGAATTGTTAAAAGTTACTTCCATTCAAACGCAGCCTTCCCTCAAGGCCTAAATCTTAAAAAAATTAAATTTTCCCTTCCCATCTGGGGAAAAAAAAAACCCAAACCAATATATTGAAATGCTGCTGGATTATTTACCCCTTCAGCAAAGGGCTGAAAAAGAATGAAAACAAGTTTTAAAAAAATCCCCAAGGCAAACTTTACAGAGATCAAAATCTAAGAATCATGTTTACAAGGCAGCCAATGCACTACAATTAATTGAATAAAGATTGAAAAGGATCTGCTGTTATGCTCATGGGCTTCCTTCCATAATGCCGAGAAGGATGTCGATGTAATAAATAATAAAATAACCTTGGTTACTAATTTGGACAAGAGCCAAGAGACAAAACAAGCTGCCCATAGGACCCAGCAGTAATCGTGAATGATCCAACACTGGAGGTTTTTAAGAAGAGACTGGGACAGTCATTTGTCTGAAATGACATAGGGTCCCCTCCTTGAGCAGGGGTGGGAATAGATGACCTCCCAAGGCCCCTTCCTACTCTTTTTATTCTGTTATTCCCCTCCTTGAGCAGGGCGAGTTGGACTAGATGACCTCCAAAACTCCCTCCCAACTCTGGGTTATTCTGGTTGGTAAAACCAGCTTTCACTTGGTAGTCAAACAAGGAACCGATCCTTGGATCAGACTTGTAGCCAGCCAGCCAGCCCTTCCCCAACCCTTTAAAAACACGAATCCAGAGCCCAAGCAAGAGGAAGGATAAAAGGGAACCTCCAAAGCCAAGAGCAGTCAAGATCCCTCCAAACTTCGCAAGAGTAGGGGAGAGGTTGGAAGTTCGGGTCTCAGATACAAACAAACGCAGAGGGGGGGGGGGGGCGTGCGGGATGGCCTTGCAAAACGGGGTGGCTCCGGAGTAAACCGATCGCAGCCACTCCGGAGTTAAAAGAGGGAAGCAGGAAGCCGAGCCGAACGACGCCTCGGGCGGCGGGGAGGAGAGGTGGGGGGGGGGGGGGGGAGAAAGCCAGCCAGGACGCCGCGCCGTCCAGCCCGGCCCAGCCGGGGATCAGCGCGCGCTTGGACACAGGGCCGTCACGTCGCCTGCTTCTCCAACGGGGCGCTCCGCCGGGCACCGTTCCAGCCCCCGATCGTTGCTGCAGGGGAGACCCTCCCCCGGCCAAGCATCGGAGGATTCACCACCATCCCATCCCATCCCCATCGTCTAGGCTTGCAAGGCAGCCGGGTGGGCGAGCGCCCCAACCCCACCTCCGCCCGGCGCTTCCTCCACGCTCCGACCCTTCCGAGCCCCCCCATAATTGCAACCACGATTCTTCCCCCCCAAAAAACTCCGATCTTCTCCTCCTCCTCCCCATCCCGGCCGCAGGACTCACCTGCTCAGCGCGGGACCGCCTGCAGCCGCCCGCAGAAGGTAGACGGCGGACGGTGCCCGGGAAAGCGCCAGCCTCCTCCAGCTCCGCAGCTGCCTGAGCTCCCCCCAACTACGTCGACCCCGGAGCACCCCCTGTTTTTTCTGCCCCCGCTCCCCGGGACTCCCTGCCCTTTTATAGGAGGCGGGGAAGACCCGCCCCTCTTCTTCCCCCCCCCCCCCCCCCCCCCCCACGTTGGGCCCTTGATGGCCAGGTGAGCGGGCCAATCGTGGCGGCCGGGCACCTAGCAACACCCAGCGGGTTGGCGCGAAGCGGCGGCTGGCTCTGGAGAGAGGGGGCCAATGGGAAGGGGGAGAAGGGGCGGGAGACACCTCCCCCCCCCTCCCAACCCCAGTGAGGCAGCTGGGAAGGCAGGCAACAGCTGGGCGGCCCCCGGCAGCCAATGGGAAGCGCGGAAGCCTCGCCAGCATGGGAGTCGGGCGGGAGGATAACAAACGGAGCGCGGGGCGCCTTAAAGCGACCCCGAGGTTCTCTCCGTCCCGTCCCCCCCGCCCCCCGGTTCTTCAGGCGGGTCTTTCCTTCCCCCGACGGGCCGCTGAGGGAGGACGAAGGGGGTTGGCACGAAGCGCCCGCTGGGGCTGCTGCCCCGCGCCACCCGCATCTTTCCAGCCCTCAAAGCATTTTTCCAAACCTCCCCTCATAAAAAA